TGATTTTAACGATATTTTCTCAGGGAAAGAAATCCCAATTTCCTAAATTTTCAGAAGTGTAAGTAAATCCTATGTAGCAGTTCACCTTATTCCCTTTTGTAAGATCTTTTCTATGATCTGTAATTTTCCTGCTTCTCAGTATATAATTTATTGCTCCATAGTAGTATGGTAAAATAAGGATTCCCCTTGCAGGTAGAATAACTACATATATACATACCTATATACATGCACACACATGCACGTGTGCATGCATGCACGCGCGTGCACACACACACACACACACACACACACACACACACACACACACTGGGTTGCTAGGGCCATGAAAGATCTGTATTAGGTGCGGGATCATCATACAGATGGTTGGGATTGAGAAACAGATTCTAGAGTTTGATTTTCTACTATGTGTATGTGCAGTGTGAGGTAATTTGTTTATTTCATGAAACACTGTTTTCTTCATCTTTGCCCATAAAAATGATAGTGATGCTTATCTTATAATGAGGTTGAGATAAAATGATTGAAAATAATATATACATACTATAACCACATATTTTTATAGTTGATAATTATTCTAATTAATTTTTTTCTGTCTTCCTTATCCTTGGATACTACTTTCAAAAACTTGTACTCTTTTATGACAAGTGGTCCTTTGAAAAGGAAGAAGGAATGTAAGGTAAGATTTCTATTCCTTCACACAGATGCCTCTAGATCAGAGAGTTTCTACTATTCATCCACACATGCATTCATGCATGTATCCATCCATGCATGTGCATCTGCTCACCCAATCATCTTATATTTCACCATCCCTGATTTCAATCTCTGCTACAGATCTATAGTAATAAAAACTGCATGGGATTGGCATAAAAACAGACAGGTGGACCAATCAAATCAAATCAAAGACTCAGACATAAATCCACACAGCTACGAACACCTGATTTTAGACAAGGAAACCAAAATTATGCAATGGAAAAAGAAAACAACTTCAACAAATGGTGCTGGTCTAACTGGAGGTAAAATGTAGCAGTAAGCAAATAAATCTACATTCTATCACCCTGTATAAAAATTAAAGCCCCAGTGGATCACAGACTTCAACACAAATCCAGTTACACTGAACCTGATAGAGGAGAAAGTGGGAAATAATATTGAATGCATTGGCACAGGGACAACTTCCTGAACAGAACACTAACAGCACAGGCATTAAGATCAACAATTAATAAATGGGACCTCATGAAATCGAAAAGTTTCTGTAAGGCAAAGGACATCATCAATAGGACTAAATGACAGCCTATAGAATTGGAAAAGATCTTTGCTAACCCCGCATCTGACAGAGAGCTGATTTCCAAAATATGTAACTCAAGAGCTCAATAAACTAGCTATTAACAAACAAAATAATCCATTAAAAATGGAATATAGATCTAAGCAGAGAATTCTCAACAGAAGAATCTCAAATGACTGAGAAACACTTAAGGAGATATTCAACATCCTTAGTCATCAGGGAAATGCAAATCGAAATGACTCTAAGATTCCCTCTTACACCTCTCAGAATGCCTAAGATCAAAACCACAAGTGACAGCTCATGCTGGAAAGAATGTGGAGCAAGGCAAACACTCTTCCATTGCTGGTGGTAGTGTAAACTTGTATAGACAAACCTGTAAAGACACTTGCTCAACTATATTCATAGCAGCTTTATTTTTAATAGCCAGAATCTGGAAACAACGTAGATGTCCCTCAGCTGAAGAATGGATAAAGAAAATGTGTTACATCTACATAATGGAGTATTACTCAGCTGTAAAAAAACAATGACAACAATGACATTATGAAATTTGCAGGCAAATGGTTGGAACTGGAAAAAAAATCATCCTGAGTGAGATAACGCAGACCCAGAAAGATAAACATGGTTTGTACTCACTCATAAGTGGATATTAGGTGTAAAGGATGACCACTCTATAATCCAAAGATCCAGAGAGGCTAGGAAACAAGAAGTCCTAAAAAGGGACCCATGGATTTCCCTGGGAAGGGGAAATAGAAGAGATCTCCTGGGTAACCTGGGGGTGGCAGGCATTTTGGTTTCAGGGAGAAACTTGCTGCCAGGAAAACTCCCAGGAAAACACAAGATGACCCAGCTAAGACTCCTAGCAATCAATAGTACAGAGGGTACTGGAATTGACCATCTTCTGTAATCAGATTGGTGGGGACCCTAATTGTCATCAGAGAGCCTTCATCCAGTAACTGATGGAAACAAATGCAGAGACCCACAGCTAAGCACTGGGCCGAGACCTTGGAATCCAGTTGAAGAGAGGGAGGAATGATGATATGAGCTAGGGAGTTCAAGGTCATCACAAGTGAACCCACAGAAACAACTTACCTGAGCTTATAGGAGCTCACAGACTCTGGATCAACAAGGGATCAACCTGGTCCCTCTACATATATGTGACAGTTGTGTAGCTTGGCCCAATGTGGAACTCCTAACAGTGCCAGGGACTGTCCTTAATGCTTGAGCTGGCTTTTGGGAACCTATTCCTCATACCCGGTTGCCTTGACCAGCGTTAATACAAAGGGAGGAGCTTAGTCCTACCTCAACCTGCTATGCCATGTTTTGCTGACACCCATGATAAGTCTGCCCCTTCGTCCATGTCAACAGAATCAGAGGAGTGGGTGTGGGGGCAGGGCAGACGAGTGGCTGGGGAGGTAGGGTTGGGGAGGGGATAGGAAGAGAGGAGGGAGGGGAAACTGTGGTCAGAATGTAAAATAAATGAAAAATTTAATTAATAAAACAGAAATACATTGTATGCATTATGAAATAAAGAAATATGTTTTTAAAAATCCACCCCCTCCAAAAACAAAACAAAACAAAAGCAAACCAAGGACACCAGGAAATTTGTAGGCAAATGGATGGAACTAGAAAAACAATCATCCTAGTGAGGTGACCCAGACTGAAAAACATAGTCATGATATGTACTCACTCGTAAGTGTAAAATAAAGGATAACTATGCTACAATCCACAGATCCAGAGAGGCTAGGTATCAAGGAGAATTACCTTGTGGGTACACCCCAAAAGTCTCCCTGGTAAGAGGAAATAGAAGAGATATTGTGAATGGATTGAGGGTGGGTGGGATGGGAACATGGGCCATCAGGTTGGGGGGCACAGAGGGGAAGAGTGCTGAAGGGGACTGCTGGTGGTGGTGTAGGAAAATCTCCCAGGAGTCTACAGGAAGAACCCCAGCTTAGACTCCTAACAATAGCAGATAAGTAGCCTGAAATGGCTGTTTCTTGTGACCAGATTGGTGCCTGTCATCAGAGAGGTTTCATCAGGCAACTGATAGAGACAGATGCAGAGGCCCACAACCAAATTAGGCAAAGTTCTGGAATCCTGCCAAGGAGGAGCAGAACAGAGTGTAGGAGCCAGAGGGGTCAAGGACACCATTGCAAGACTCACACAGTCAACCAACCTGGGGTCTTAGGGGCTCTCAGAGACTGAACTGACAACCAGGGAGCCTGCATGAGATTGACCTAGGCCCTCCGTATATACGTTAAACAGTTGTGTAGCTTGGTCTTATGGGACTCCTAACAGGAAAGAGGGCCTGTCTCCAACTCTTTTATTGGCTTTTGGGACCGTATTTCCCATACTGGGTTGCTTTGCCCAGCTTTAACATATGAGGTGCCTAGTCTTACTGCAACTTGATATGTCATGTCTGTTGATACTCATGGGAGACCTGCCCTTTCCTGGATGGAGACAGAAAAGGAGGAGGAGATTGAGGGTTGGGATGGAGTATGTGGGGGAAGGACTGGGAGGAAAGGATCAGGGAGGCTGTGGCCAGGATGGAAAATTAACACTTGAAACAACACCAACAACAAAACAAAACAATAAAAAATCAGACAAGGAAGAAATGGGAAAATGGAAAGAAAATAAAAAGAATTAGTTCAGGTGACATTGATTTGGAATTTCCCAAACCAAATAATCATCAAAAGAAGGCTGACATTTCCACCTCAAGCTTTCCAGGCTTGTTAACATACTTTGCTTGCCGAAGTGTTCAACTGAACTAAATTTCATCTAACATCTGGCCATTGCATAAACACAGCAATGAAAACATGTCTTGTTGCCTCCCCATTGGGTATACATTTTGGAAATCCAATTAGTGTTGCATGCTTTGTGTGCGTTTTCCTTTTTCTTTTGTGTTTGAACTAATTTTGAGCTCCTACCTGGAATTACAAGGATTCAAATATTTAGCACACACAGCAGCAGAAAGCAACCATGTTGAAGAATAGGGCTTTGTGGTATTTCCTCACGATTCTGGGACACTCTTTAATTGCTTTGTCCTCACAGCAAGCACTTTCCAGGGGAGTGTCAAAGCTCTCACAACTCAGGGCTGAGAGTGGGGGAAGAGAAACAGGATAAATAAAACACATTTGCATCCAGTAAGGTTTTAGATCCTAGTGGGGGAGGGGCACCTAAGCGAACTGTTTCACCAAAATACGACACATGCTGTGAGAGATACACATTATTCACCCATCGGATGGGTTGCATACTCCATAAATGACTGCCTCCAACTTTGCAACGAAAGTCTGTAGCTGCTAAAAATTGGGACGTCCCTTAAACCAAGTACAGTGGGCCAGGCAAATAAGTACTTACTGAGCCTATGCCATCCATCTGGATGCACAGGAGTTGCTGGACACCCTGAAGTTAGGCCATCTATGTAGCAGTGACAGTCAGTTGTTGGAATCTCTGAGTTTAGACTCACTGTGGTGGTGGCTGGTATCCTATAGTCTATTTTATAGATGTGGACTAGAAGAACCAAGCCTATGAAAATCCGGTCTTCACTGTCTGTGTCAGGGCCTACCCCAGGGCCTACCCATGTGGCTTTCACGAAGTACACATGATTTTATGAGCTCCATCACCATTTCACTTGGTATAGATTATATTCAAATATCAAAACCTCTTATTCATTTTAATGCAAGTGCCAATACTACAACTGAATTTTAAAATACCATCATATATACAGTTTACTTTTAAAAACATTTGGAGATTTATTCGTGTGAGTCTAGTAATACGATATGCAACATAAGACATGGAACCCAGTCACACTGCTAATACATTTTAATATGTTTTCCAAGTATTAGATATTACAGTTTAAATCTCTTTACCATTAACTCTAATGTTGCAATAATATTTCAGTTAATAAATAATTGTAAATATAACCATACATTCATTATATTTTGCTTAGTTCATTATGAGTTACAAGTTTATTGTGATTTGGGTCATAAAATGTTACATAGTTCATATATTTCCACAAATTGCATGTTTGCTTAATCCTGAAAAGAGTCTAGGAATACATTACAATGGGATATATAACTTAGGTGGTTTTTTTAGTTCTTGATTTTTGACTTAAAAGAGTTAACAGTGTAACTGGTCTTAAATTTGGTGTCTACAGCATATGTTGTATAACATTTGTTGGGTATGTATTTTCACAGGCTATGGGAAGTTACTTGCAAAAGGTGAGTATTCTCAGTTTTTTATTTTTGAAGTTAAAGGTCTAACATTTATTTCTGAGAATTATGGTTTTCAAAGGTTTGTGGTAGGGGGTTTTCTGAAAAGAATTGAGACCTAGACATGAACTCAGAGAATTTAATGTAAAGAAAGTGAGTTTTGTTATTAATATAGTAACCATGCTTTCCTAATAATTTCCACTCTATGAGTTTACTGGGAAAAGATGTAATTACTATCAGGTCCAAAGTGTTTCAAATTTATGTATTTTGCAGTCTTATGATTATCCTGTAGTCTTACGATAAGAACGTTTTATAGTTTTTATGAGGTTGTCCATTCAGCTGTCACAGCAGCAGTGTCTCTGCCACATTTGTGATGTGTGAGGAAGATGTCAGCATGTTGCATCAAAGGGCCATGCAAGGATTCGGGCCAGCATTTTAATTTGCTATTGTGGTTTGGAATTTTGCATCCATCAATGAGGCTAGATCAGTACACACATGGCCTGGATTCATCTAGAAGAGCTGTGCTTTGGAACTGACCTCTAATAAATCAGCTCATTTTTATCACGCACATTTTTCAGAGATTTCCAGTGTCATATGAAATCTTCAGCATAGGGGAGATGTGGCCAGCAGTATCCATGAACTGTGAAAGGACACCCCTCTAGTGATCAAAAGGAAAAGGCTTTCTGAGTAGTGTCAAATGACAGAAACAAACTTAACAGTGACTTAGGCTCCAGAAAACACTTCCTTGTAGTGTAAAAAGTTAAAGGAGTTTTGGAAGAAAATGGAAACACACGTTTAAAATCTGAGTCCTACATTTGAAGGGAACCCTCAACATCTTTTTTTTTTAAAGACTCCTTTCCACGCTGTTTTGACAGACTATGTGCATTCTCAGTGTATGGACCACCTTGAAATTTGGGGGGTGTCTGTGTTCTCTTCCTGAGGGAACACAGTTGGCATTGCCCCGTGGCTTGCATAAATCTTTCATGTCTTCCTGATTTTCCTTTCTGATCTCTCTGCTGTGTATCCGTCAGTGGTTGTCTCTTGGGAACAGCACGATGCTGTTTGCACTATGCACTTCATTAATAAGAAAGGATGAAAGGAAAAGCCCTGATCTCCTAATACACTGGCTAATTTGGTGCCATCCACAAGGCAATGGACCCCTGCTGCATAGATGTCATTAGAAAGGTACAATTTCATCACTTTTTTTTTTTTACTGGCAGAGCCTTGAGTGAAATACAAGACAAGTTGTCTCCTATGCAAAGATAAAGAATGCTGAAGCCTTTGCCCTCTGCCCTTCAACAGTAAATTGTAAAAACACGGTGTGTTTTCACATCCATGTTGCCATCCTTTGATAGCACTAGAAATTATACTTCGGTTAAATGATGAACACAATTAAAAATTAGAAGAGAGTATTGGTATTCTTAAAGCCCAAATGAGAGTCATATACTTTTATCAAGTAACATGCTTGTTTTGATTACCTACTGTGTGCCTGGCATTATGCCAGTTGCTACAAAAACAAATCACAAAGCCATGATTCACTATTTTGCAGTCCCTACCATACTGAATGCTGCCGCTGGAAATGAGCGTTAAAGCAAGTACATATGAAGTAAACTGTACAGCACAACAGATATAACCACAGGCCAAGAGTTTTGAAAGAGTAATCAGAAATCCGCTTAGCTATTTGTGTCAGTCAGCTCAGCTTCTTTTGACCTGACACGGTTTGTTGATGGTGGACATCACCTTCTGAACTGAAGCACCCTCACCTTAAGCCTATGCGATGCATTGTGAAGACACTTGAAATAAGGGGCACAAACCATCACTGGGACGTTTCTGCCCTGCTTCTGTGAGTGCCACTCTGTTAGGGAGTAATCTTATGTATCTGGTGTATTATTTTCAATACCCTGAGAAAGGAACCCGTGCTTCCAGCATCTGCCGTAAAGTATGCCGGTGGCACTGAGAGGCATACACTCGTCTCATGGCTATCTGGAAACTTGCACATCAGTTTCCTAGCACCGAAGAGAATCAGGTTGAACAGTGGTCCATTATCTCGTTGCCGCAGACACAAAACTGCCATTAACAATAAGAAGTCACACACAGTTGGAATTGTGCTTGGGAAAAGAAAGCCCTTGGTTGTCGGCTATTTATAAGCTAGCTAGATGGGCTTTCTCTCTTCCACTACTAACTTTTGTTTAGTGAAATTGACATTTGCAGCACATTGTCTAAGATCAATGCTAGGCTAGACAGTTACAATGGTAGAAACTGGGGTTTCCATACAGCATTCTATTGGTGGGAGGCACAGCAGTACGGGAAAAACAAATGGTTTGAACAAATAAACCAGGCAGTAGGGTAGATACTTTAAAAACACATTAAGCTATGTGCAATAGCAAGGGTGGGTCATATGGGAGCTTGAATCACAGGCAGTCTCCTCACCCTTTTATTAGGCAACCGTGTTGTACCTTGTCTGCCACGCACTTTAATTCATTCACTCTAGGTGTTATTACACTCCCAGTGAAGACCACCAACAGATGTCGTGGGAAGTGAGACAGCATCACAAGTTGGGATGGGCAGGAACAGTTTACACCTTCAAGAATAAGCAAAGCTTAGACACCAACAGAAAGGCAGGACTCAGCTAATCCCAGCTAGCGTTTCAATATAGATAACAGAATGACAAACAAATCCCCCAGTTGCCAATAAATTTTAACAAGTAGGTGACGCCATTAAAGGCTTAGGTTAGTCTTATGTGGTGCAGTTAAGAATGAGCACTGAAAACAGACCAATTATGTGGTGACAGAGCACAGATCCCCTCCCTCTGACAGTTGGAAGGCCTTTGCCCCATCTCCCATTAGACTCCATAGCACTGTCTATCCTGAGCCTCGCTGGATGTCCCACGCATATGTTTCATTAGATTGAACTAATGCAAGGGTAGAAATTAATATTCTTTGCAAATTTCTTGACTTTAGCCCTATAGATTCTTGGAGTTTCAGGAGGAAGAAGGATTATAATGAATTAGCTTTGGGAACTGCCAGTCAGATATTTGCCATATAAATGCAAATGGCTTATCAGCAATGACCCTTGCTAAGATTTTTTTCCTTCGAGGTAGTTATAAGTAAGGGATGGCTCATGAAAGAGCTTACTACATTTCTTTTTCTTGAATGAGCACGGCACTATGACATACTTCGTTTTGCCGTTGGTAAATCAATCCAATGAGGTCACTATTCAAGTGAGGACTGGCAATGCCAGTTACCTCACAGAGGTGCCCACATGCTCTGGAGGCAAGACGTCACCTAATCTTGGTACACGCTTCCAGTTGTTACTACAGAAAGGGAACTCGATGAACTAGTTGCATATTTGTTTGGGGACCACTTTAAAAATTATTTCTTTTTTAAAGTTTCATATTCATTATAGGTCTCTTCTCCCCCTCCCATTGATAATCGCAAACTATGTGTTGTTTAAACTGAGCAGTAAGACATGAAAGAAGAAACCCAGACATGGGTACTTTATAACAAATCTGTTTCCTTAATGGGTGGCAGGACATCCGAGGCTAGCTCTAGGGAGTCTCTTCTGCTTTCAGTGCTGTCTTCTAGTCATACCGAAGACAATACCTCTCCAGACGAGTCTTTCCCCTTCTTCTCCTCTCCACGGTCAATGTCAATTACGTGCACCAGCCCGGGTTTCAGAATCAGGTCTTCAGTCTCCACCTGGCTCCTGTTGTCCTCCACCTCCATGTAGCTTTTTTTGGTCTGCTGGGCAGCTTTGCTGAAGGCTTCCTTGAGGCGACGTTTGAGCTCCACATCAGGACAGAAGACATACTCATAAAGGGCACCTGCCAGCACAGCTCCTATGATTGGTCCAACCCAGTAAATCTGGGGGGATGATGGAAGAGTAGGGATGAGTAGGGAGAAGTCAAAAGTGGTCTGGGTAGCCCATGAATATAGAATTTAACTGAGTTAAATTAAGGCAGCAACTGTGTTACACACACACACACACACAGATGGATTTGAAAATAATGATAAAATATACCAAGTCTGCACCAAAGATCTGTAAGTTATTAAAGAACATTTGAACATAAAATAATAATAGCTTCTATTTTCTTTATTTTATTATTAATGTTCTGATTTGTATTATTATTGTTTGAGACAAGGCCTAGCTCAGGAGCCTCTTAAGACTCATTACATAACTCAAGCTAGCCTTGAACTCACATTCCTCCACCCCCAGCAGCATGAGCGTTGAAAATATTGGTGGGTACTGTCACATCAGGCTTATCAACTTTATGACAAGTCTTAGCCTAAAATAGCTCTTCTCTGGCTTGTGGCTCCACAAGTTAATCAGACTCTATTGGGAATTCTTTGAAATAAAAAGAAAAACAATTTTTGGAGCATGTTTCTCTTAAGTATTCTATATTAGCCCCCCCTACCTTGACTTTCTGTGTAATCAGTATCATGGGGCAGTGTTATCATTTGGGCTGTTTGTTATTCAGTATGGCACAGTGAATGCTGTCCATGTTCTTCTGCCACTTAGCAGTTCTGAGTGCTTATACCAGGGCGTTTTCCCATTCAGAGACAAGGTCTCTGGTATCCCAGGTTGCCTTGAACTCACCACATAGCTGAGGATGGCCTTGAACTCACCACATAGCTGAGGATGGCCTTGAACTCACCACATAGCTGAGGATGACCTTGAACTCACCAAGGCCAGCTGAGGATGGCCTTGAATTACTCATCCCTCAGTACTCATGCTACCATGCCCAGTGTGTATTGAGTTTCAGAGAGAACTAAGGGCTTGCTGCATTCTGGATAATCACTTTACCAATTAGATTATTCCTCTAGTGACTTAACTTCTACGCTTTACTTCTTTATCTGCAAAGCAGGGGCTGTAATATGCATTTCACATGGCTGTGAAGACTAAATGAAATTCTACTTCATTTTTCGCTCATGGAAACCAGTTCAGTTCCTGCTTCCCAGACAATCTAAAGCTGTGTGTCACTGACTTGGCTGCTGGTTTGCTTATAGCATATGCTTTACGCCTTTAAAATTTGGTGACTTCATTGCAGAGGAAATGCTACAGTTTCTTTATCTTTCTCATTGGAGAGTGTTTCCCTCTGCACAGTGCTTTCCTGGAGACCCCTACTGACTTTAGGGCTGGTGACTAGACAAGGAGGAGCAAGTGACTCTACAGAGTTTCAGTAAACAGCATGTTCCATTGCATCACTGATATCCCTAGAACGAACTACGCTTGCACTCTGATTAGGCTGGAACTTGTGCTTTATAGCACACACACACACTCTGTAGAATGTTAGGCGCTCATCAATAGAGTCACTTGGGATCAAACCTCTGTTTACTGAGCACTGTAACGGACCATATTGAACACTTTTCTTATCTCATTATAACCTTTGATACAGATACTATTCAAATTTACATTCCTATGGATTGGAAAGTTGACAGTAGGCGCTCATCAATAGAGTCACTTGGGACCAAACCTCTGTTTACTGAGCACTGTAACGGACCATATTGAACACTTTTCTTATCTCATTATAACCTTTGATACAGATACTATTCAAATTTACATTCCTATGGATTGGAAAGTTGACAGTTCGGGAGGTTACGAGCTCACTTAAGATGGCATACTTAGCTGCTTGGATTGACATGTCTTGTTTATGTGACTTCAGAATGCCCTTTACCAACTTACTATTTGCTCTCCCATTTGAAAAAAATTATAACTGTGTCTCGCTTAAAACGCCACCTGGGAGTGAACTGCACTCGACATCTTCACTGTAGAGGCTAAAGGACAGCCAAGCTTCCCGCCGAGGCTGAGCACATACCCTTAACAGGGAAGTAGCTGTGAGAGTCACTGGACCAAGCAAGTTCCTTATCGTGAACATGAAAGAGCCCAAAGGAGAGTTTATCTTCCCTGTGCCCTTTCAAAGGAGAAATGAGAGCCCTCCTCTAAATGCCTTTGCTCTTTGTTCCCGCGGTAAGGTCTCATTAGATCTGTGCTACTCCACAGGCCTCAAGTCCCACAAGGAGAACAGCCACGGTTAAACAATCACTACCCTTTCCATGACGCTCGGAGGAGACAGCTAGCTCTGTGTTCTCAAAAATAAATCTTGGTGCCAAATTGCTATTCCCACACAAAGTTCTGGGACTTTAAAGTGCTTCTCAATTTTTATGAAATAATTTTATTGCTGAAAACAGGAAAACAAATAAACTACATAAAAGTGTTTAGAAAAAACTTCCTAAACTGTCATTACATTACTTAATTAAAACCTGTCCATTTACTATACAACGTATAAACTTCACATTAAAATTTTCCATTTGGGGACTGGGAGTGAAGGACATGGGTGAAGGAAGTGTCTCTGATGCAAGTATGAGGATGTGAATTTGAGTCCCCGACACCCACATAAAAGCCAGATGCCGTAGTGCACGTCTGTAATTGCTCTGTTCCCACAGAAGCATAGGACACAGCAAGTGGATATAGAAGGCCTTGTGACCAGTGGTGAACAAGAGACCTTGCTACAACCAAGGTGAAAAATTAGAACTGGTATACAAGGTTGTCCTCTGACCTCCAAATGTCATAGCACATGTGTGCCTACATTCATACATGTGAAAACACACACACACACCAACATATATCACACATACAAAGAATATAAATTCCATGTTTGTTAATGTAGTCTTTTCAAGAAGTATCAGTGGCAAAATGACCAGTCTGATGAATGACATTGGAGATCAAAATTTTGCATGTCTTTGCCCAAATTATGTCTTAACAACCCAGTGCACATTTTGTATAAGGGAATTTATACAATCATGGTATGGTATTTCCCTCCTTTGCTAGGCCATGCTATCCTTGAGTAGTTGTGGCTAGATCCATTGTGGCCACATGCGTGACATCAAAGCACAAGCAACAGGTTGTTGCACTCATAATTTTAGAAAATGTAAAAGCACATTCACCATATACGACTGGCAATAATTCAGGCATGCATATTAATTTATTTTCATTGTATTTTTAGGCTATTTAAATTAATGTATGGGTGGCTTTCACAGTTGCCTATAATTCAAAGTACATGCATTCTCTTGTTGATAAAAACAATTGAAGCCGAAATGATTATGTTTGTCACTACTCTAGGCCCAGACGGACAAGAAGTTAGTCCTGAGATTAAAAAATGCACCTTCTTGGGACTAATTTTTCTAGATACAGCTGTGGTGACAGTGGCATAAACATCTACATCATCAATTTGGTACCAGCCATAGCCCACATGCTTCCAGCTCCTATATACTATTAATTATGCTATGCTTATGTAAATACCTTTGTCGTAGGTGATACTTTAAGAATATTTCTTTCTCTCTTAAAAATAAAAAAAATATTTTCTGTTGTTGCTAGGAAGGCTTTCTTTCATGATTTAAGCACTGCAGAGTTTCAGTAAACAGCACGTTTTATCGCATAACTGATGTGCCCAGAATGAACTGAGTTTTCAAGCACATCTTTATGACTTAAATTTATTCTACATAGGAAACCCGTGTACAAAGTATTCTGCTGCAGTCTGTCCAAGATATGTCCAGACTAATGGTTCAAGAAAACCCAGCTGCCAGTGAACCCAGAACAGAACCCTATGAGATCTTTTGCAGCAGAATCCTGCTAGGCGGTCTCTACCTCCTGTGACAGATGCAATAACACGCTGAGAGCTGCAGTTGGGGAAGAAAGCAACAGAAACTACGGAGCTAACTTAGGCCAATAAAAAGAGCGTCTTGCGGACAATTGCTCCTAACTTCAGGAAGATGGGGTGTATCGATTTAGTAGTTACCCAGTGGTTTTCCCAGTTTCCCATGATGACTGCAGGTCCAAAGGATCGGGCTGGATTCATGCTGGCCCCAGTGTAATTGATCTGCAGGGAAAAAGAACAAAACCTCAGACATTTTGGAAACAGGGTCTTAACAGGTGCCAATTTCTGCAACTTGCTGCTGTCTCCTCAGAGGAACATTGAGATTTAGCCACTTTGTAGTTGGCAAAGTTGTCGATCACTTAACATCAACAGATATGGCTGGATCTGAAGGAGCTGTGTATCTTACGGTACAATCTGCATGGTACGTGTGTATGTCCAGCTAGTTGGCAGACCAGTTTTTGAAACAGGTATTTATTGGTTGAGAAGGTAACACTGAAGTAAAAAACACCCTTGAGATAATGCAAATGTCACAGCAGTTTTGTACTGGCCAGGTCACTGGCCACACTGGCGAAGGCTGCAGGATTGTCACAGGAAACAATACAGTGTTCCCAGCTGATTAATACTCAAAACAACTGAAGAAAACTTCAGCTATAAACAGCATCTTCAGGCTTGCTTCAGGGTGAGGCTAAATGAGATGATCAATTATTCAAATGAACTTAAAACTTACTGCAAACAAATGTCCAATTGCGACGGAAAATCCAATTGCTAAAGCAATTGAACCAGTAACATCAGCCCGTTTGGAATCACAGCTGGCAAAAATAGTGAACACCAACTGGAATGTGATTACCAACTCCACCAGGAGTCCGTGGCCAGCAGTAAGGTTTCCGTGAACCTAGAGAGAGGGAAAGATACTCCATCAGAATTGAAGCAGAGTCTAGGTCGAAGCAACGCACCGGTCTGAAGGGTGTATTCTATCTGCATGGGAACCAATGGTTAAGCTGAGTCTTCTACCAGCACCAGGTTGAGATTTCTGTCCCTCCCACCTCCTAAAAAGAAGGACTCAATTTACACTCATTTTAGGCCATTACAGATAATTTTACAGTGACTGAGTTTTCACTGAATGTTGTTTTTAGCAACAGAAGCAAAATGTGTTACTGCTGCACTCAGCGCGTAAAAGATTTTCATCACAGATTTATAATGTTACAGGGCAATTATTAGACTCATAATTAGGTTTAAGTTAGTTCCTAGGTATCTCAACTAAAACATAAGCTGTGTGTCTAAAGCCAGTCCTGGTGCAGAGCTAACCAGCAATACTGCCAAGCTACAAAGAGTGACATGAAGATCAAATGACTGTGGGTTTATTTATTTATTTATTTATTTATTTTTTGAGATGGGATTTCTATGTGTAGTCCTGGCTGTCCTAGAATTTGCTTTGTAGATCAGGGTGGCTTCAGTCTTAGAGATATGCCTGCTATTGCCTACATAGTGCTGAGATTAAAGGCGTGACACTTCATGCAGATCATCTAAAGTTCCCTGCACAATAAGCAACACATTGTTGCAACTGATAATAAATAATTGTAAGGCCTTAAGACAAAAATACAGTCAAGCCAGTCATGCTCATTTACATCTGTAATCTCAGCACATAGGAATCTGAGACAGGAGGATTGCTAAAAGTTCAAGGGCAATCTGAGCTAGATAATGAATGTGAGGCCCTGTCTTTAAAAAAAATACCAAAAAAACCCTCCAAAAAACCAAACCAAACCAAACCAAACTAAACCAAAACCTCAAAAAACAAAACAAAACACACTCCTGTGGTCACTGTGGTGGGAGAAAAACAAAACAAAACAAAACATTTTGAGATCTTTTTAATCACGTTCAAGTCACTCAATAGTAAATAATGTCCTTTCAATATTTGCCTCTATGTAGACAGAGTTTTACTATGTAGTCCAAGGTGACCTTCACTCCTGATGCTCCTGTCTTAATCTCCCAAGTGCTGGGATTATAGACAGCACCCATGCTTGGCTCGTCTGCGTGTAATTTAAATACTACCACAATAGGTTTCTACTTTTTTTTTTAAAGACAAATTTGTATGCAGTCCAGACTGGCTTTGAACTCTCTGTGCAGCCAAGGATGACCTTGAACTTCTGGTTCTCCTGCCTCCACTTCCATAGTGCTTGTATTGTAGATATGTGCCACTACACCTCATACAGGGACTATAACCTAGGACCTCCTGCCGGGCAAGGAGTCTCCAAACTGAGCTATAGCCCTAGCTCCTTAATCTAGCCATTTTATGAATGCCTCCCAGACCATTGAGCCACCTTTCAGCAGAGTTTGCAAGAAAGCCTGGAGTCGAGGACAGAAATGAGAAGCTAAAAGTTCTTACCGTGGTGACTCCCAAGCCTCCCACCACGCTGGGAGGTGTGACCAGGTAGAGGATACCAGCTCCGATGATGGCCCCTAGGCACTGCGCCGCGATGTAGAAGATTGACTTGGCGATGCTGATCTTTCTCGTGCACACCATGGCCACTGTCACAGCGGGGTTGATATGGCCACCACTGATGTGGCCAAAGCACTGCACCATGGTGGCAATGCTGAGTCCAAAGCAAAGGGAGATGAGGACCATGTCCACAGGTAAGGGGTTTTCCGATCCGCCCCAGTTGATGGTGGATCCCAGGCTGAGCAAAACGAAGATAAGCATGGCTAGAAATTCCGCTGCCACTGCCTTCCAGAAAGCTTGCGTCCAGACCCCTTTGAAAGCCACCATGATCCTCTCTCTACTGCACGAACGTCCGCACTTACTGGAAGGAAGAACACAGTGAGAGGGAGAAGCCGTCGTCTTAGCTTTCCAGCTGGAAGGGGGCGCTGAGATTTGGTCTCAAAGCCTGGGGATGGGCTGCGAGCATTCTTTGCAAACCAAGACAGAACGCTTCGGGGACTCTCCTTAATTAGTAGCCAAGAGGTTGCTCTTGTGGTATTCTTGGATTTCCTAGTCACCAGACAGCAGCCCCACCTGTCCCTAGAAGAGAAACTGTCTCAACCTAGTTCCAATAAGTTTAACTGGGAGTTTGTTCCTTTTGGCAAGCTTTAAAATGTATACTTTGCATGTGTGTTTTTGTTGTGGCTAGAAAGCAGTTTAAGAGGAGGGGGTTTGTGGGGGAGACGGCTCAGCGGTTAAGAGCACCGGCCGTTCCTGCAGGGACCTGGGTTGGTTTCCCAGCACCCACATGGTGGCAGTCTACCACTTGTGACTCCACTTCCAGAGCTCCAGAGCCCTTCTCTGCCATCTATGCGCACTGCGCCCAGGTGGTGCACCGACACCCATGTAGTTAAAACACTCATCACATACATAGAATAAATCAGTTGAAGAAGGGCGGGGCGCTCAGTCTCCGACTGAATGTATCTCTGCACCTTCTGCTGCCCACCTCCTATGACCAGGGATGACGACATCCCAGGGATTGGAGGTGTGGAAATATGGGGAGAGTTGGACAGGTGACAATGTGGGTCATTTATGTATATGTTTCTGAAGAATAAAGAAAACAAAATACATCTTTCTGAAGAATAAAGAAAAATAATTTATTTCTTCTGAAAAGAAAGAAAAATATATCTTAAAGAAGCAGATCATTTCTACTTTTGTATTTTGTAGCTTCAAAAAGGCATTTTTTTGCCATTTTTATTGTGAATTTATTTTTCTTTTTTTTTTTTTCAAAAAGGCATTTTTGAAAACGGGTTTGTAGAGCCCTGTACCCACTCCTATCCTCAAAAGTGTGTGGATCTGGAGATTTTAGAGGAAGCTGGCACTGCACAACTGTCTTTTGGGAAGGCAAACTCGTGGAGGGCAGAGTTGACTCTGGTACTTGGTGTGGACCCTGGGGACAGGTCGGGACTCAGCTGGGACAGGGACACTCCTGCTGTTGCCCTGGGCAAGGAGGTGGTGAACTGCAGGTAGCGGTAGCTTGGGACTCAGAGGGGCATCTGCGCCCAGCCCCTGGGCAGATCTGGGCTTGCAGCACTGGGACGTGACAATCTCAATCCCCAGGGGGAAGCCCGAGAGACTCTGGAAGGGTGGGGCTGTGGGCACTCCAGGCTGGTGCCAGGCTCCCAGGCAGTGGCCAGGTGAACGGACAGAAGTAGCTGTCAGAGGGGTCAGGCACCAGAGAGGGGAGCTTTTAAAAGAGTTTCCGCGCAAGGATAGTGCCTCCTCGGGCTTCTTTGTGTCCCCCCAACCATTAAGGCAGCAGCTCTCCAAAACACCCGTTCCTCCACGCTCCTGGAGTCTGGAGTATGTAAGCCAGCCCCATGCTGTCTACCCACCACAGGGTACAGAACTAGGAAGATTAGCAAGAAAAGGGGGCGTGTCAGGTAACAGTGCAGAGGCTCTGTGGGGAGGGAGGGTCATGCGGCTTCTTACTGAGGACTTCTCTCCCATGGGCTTGGCCCTGGAGTGTTATATGCCTTATCTTGAGGAGCTTGTGGAGGTGGGGAGGGGCGCAGGAGGTGAGGGAACAGCTCGGAAGGAATGGGATTAGGAAATGAGAGATGCCACAGCAACCTTTGGGAAGGAAGTTCTCCTGCCACCCACCTTTAGTCTTTAGATCTTTGGAGTTGAAGAGGGTGGGGTTGGAAGACACCAGTGCAACTGCTTATTTTGGCTAGGAATTGTTAAGCCCCCCTTCCCATTTGGAAGGTATCCTTACTTAAGACATTCATTTTTGCCCCTCATCTGTAGTAAGACAGATAGGCAGCATTTTGCACAGTAGACTCTGTAGAGGGCTGGCTGGAAAACCTCAAAGGGTAGAATTGTAACCTCCTGCACATATTGTAAGGTTCTTATCTTTTGGATATCACTCACTGGCCTAGGGAGCCTGGCTTCTGTGCAGGCAGTGAGGAAACCCGGTATGACAGGCTAGGAAGGTTTTCTTTGCCTTTAGGATTTCTGCTTTGCAGTTAGCTTGGCAGTGGGGCTTTCCTTCTGACCTGGAAAGGGAAAGCACGCTGTGCTCATGCTCACCCACCCACGGGGGCAACCAGCTACACCCCAAATGTGCCCTGCACAAGTGAGGTCCTTTAAATGACTCACGCAATTATGGAAGGCCCCAGCTGGGCCAAAGCTGACTTATGCCTTCTAGGGAGATAATATAGAGACAAAAACAGCAGTTGGAATGGGGCAGAACGGGAGCCCCAGGGGAGGCGTTAGAAAGGCCCCCAAGAGGGAGAAGCTTTGAGAGCTCAACATTGAAAAAGGAGTGAGGAGAGTCGCTTCTGAACTCACCAGCAGCTCAGGTGGTAGCCAGGTACCAGAAGGTCAAAGTACTGTTACAGGTGCTGTCTTCTACAGCCCGACACAGAGGATAGAGGACCAAGCAGGAAGTGAAGGGAGCTGGGTGGGCAGGAAGCAGTCCCCGCTCAGTGCCAGTGCACTCAGGGGAGGCGGTCCTGGGAAAGGCCAGCCTCTCTCTGCCACCCCTTTGTCACCTCTCCCTGCTCATTCACACACCTGTCCCCCTCTCCAGAGACCTAAGCAGGAAATTTAGTTGCTCTTTGAACTTCAAATTTTCATCAAAGAAATTAAAAGCAAAACCCAACAAAACATCCAAATCTGTGAAGCATAAATAGAAGCCATAAATTGTTTTATCTCCCTCTTTGTTAAACCCCACAAAAATCTGATCTCCCAAAACAGCCTGGGCTAGCTGCAGATGTCCAAACTTGTAGCATATGTGTACCTCTCTCTCTGCCTTTGTGGGAATCTCCCCAGTATTGGCCGTAGCCCCATGATCACCATCAACGTGCCCTGATGTGTTTACATTCATAGGAAATGGACCAACATAATTTATTTTTGCTGTTTTTTTTCTTTTGCCCCAGAACAAAGGGGGATTTGTTGATATGACGGAGCTGCAATGAACCAAACACTCTACTTCCTACCGGACACAGTCTCATCCACTCCTGGACAGTTCCCCGGTGAGTAAATATTCTAATGAAAGATATTACAGAGTAATTTCCCATGCTAAAAGCATCCTTTTTTTCCCTCCCTTCCCTCTGCTTCTCTTGTGCCTGAACTTAGTCCCCAGGCTTACGAGATAACCCCCACCCCCGCCAATGCTGCTGTCACCTTGTAGCTTCTGTGTGAGAAGACACGGATATCTGCAAAGAAAGGGTTTCATCTTTTAGTGTGCAGCATTGTTTCCTTAAAGCAAAGGACTTACCCCCACCGCCTTGCAGCAACTCTGCCACTCATGCCGTCCCTGGCCAGAGTGCAGCTCTCATTGCCTGCCCCTCGGCTCCAGTGAACTGGGAGTCAGATTACGGGCACTTGTCTGATTGGGTTTTTGGAGTGTAGGGGTGGAAAGATTTTGCACCATGTGGCAATCACTAGGTTATATTTGAACTAGAAACCGTCCCTGTACCTGATCACTGTAGACACAGGGCATTTCAGGAATCCAAAGCACTTGCTGACAAACTTCTTTAGCTACTGAGCTTTTCAAGTGAAGACTTCCCCATGAGTTTATTTGGTTCATTCTGATCACCAAGAATTGGGGAGGATTTGCCTTGCTGATTTCTTATCGAAACAGAACAACTAATAGAAAATGCATTTGTATGACCCAGCAATTCAGATGAATTATGAGATAAACATTGACTTTTGAGTGAAATATGTGAGCCGAGATTATTTACTACCTGATTTCAATAATAATAATGATTATTATAATAATTTCTCTATACGAAGCAGCAGATTTTAAAAACAGAGGTTAGATAGAGACAGAATTATTGGGAACAGTAAATAAAATTTAATATTTAGAAACCTGGGGACAGGAGGGCTGACTACACACTTGGCTGTTCAAAGTGAGTTCAGGACACAGTGTTCAGAAATTACTCAGGATTGTTAAGATTGTCACAGCAGGGAGTTGACAGAGTGTGGGTCTACATGCATGGCTGTGGCTGAATGCTCATGAGGCAGTCCCTGCCTGACGAGCTGCAGGGGGTATACGAAATATCTACAGGCTCCACTAGATCATTGTTAAGATTTTTTTCCTTAGATAGACCCCAGGTGCATAGCTAAGGAGTAGTCCTAACCCCTGGTTTATGAATCTGTTTTAACAGTTAGTCAATGATAGCTAATCAATGTAATGATTATCAGGAATAAATTGCTCAACTCAGCAACTAAAACTGTGATAAGTACATCTACCTGTGGGTGTCTCTGGCTCTTAACTGATTTCTTCATTTCAGATTGGAGGCGTGTGTGTGTGTGTGTGTGTGTGTGTGTGTGTGTGTGTGTGTGTATTTTCAGTGAGCAGTATAAGAAAGACATTTAGAAGTGAATGACTTTCACACTCTTACATCTTTTCTCTGGGTGTCTGACTTTTTTGCTTGACACAAGACAATGTGTACAAAGTGCTCAGCTCTCCTTAGGAAAAGGAATTACATTTTTGAATGGGAATTCCAGAGAAGCACTTGAATGCTTTTTCTCGGTAATCCCCAGGTAACAACACTTGCATGGACTTCCTTCAGCATACTGTTGCTCAGTGATTACTGTGAAACCTTTAAGGACATACTTCCTTAAGGTCAGAATATTCTGATGCGGGGAAGGTGAGGAGACTTTTCAAGAACCCACAAAGACCCTTTGAATCATTTCATATCGACTTGCGAGGTTACTGTTTAGATTTTAAAAAGCTGTGCATTTTCCTCCCTGATTAAAACCCTTGACTTCTAGGCAGATGTGCTGAGTGTAACTGTCTTGACCATGGAGCCCCAGTGTTTATGAGGTATCTGAACTCAAGGAAGTGTTCTGTGAACACACCATGCACTGAGGTCTCAGACTTCCACAGGTACTCGCTGGGGCTGTGGGATGCTGGAATGACTTCTTTGCAGGTTCCCTGGGCTCATCAGCATTCTCTGCACAGCTTTTGCAGTTCCCGTTACCACCTCACAAACTGCCAGCAAAACTTGGTTGCCACGGTTTCCCTTTTCTCTGGCTGGCTGATGTGTTGACAGTCCAGTTCCTAAGGGGGGAGTGTTCCCATCAAGGGAGGAGCCACCCCATTTGGCACCACCTCTTATACTCATTGGTACTCTGCACAGTGGCCTAAGATAGAACAGGGGTTAACTCTTTATCTACCAGAGGTAGTTTTTATTAGGCATGATTATCCCATTTGTAACTGAGTTGGCTTTTCTCCTCTTCCCACAACAGTATCCCGTTAGAGCATCAAGCAAGCTGCTTGCTTGGATATAGACAGACATTCCCTGTGGGCTTGCCTATGGATATGAGTCCAGAAAACAGCCAGGAAGAAAGCTTGGGGTAACGGTGGTGAGGCAGTAGGAGGCAGGAAACTTAGTCAAAGTGAGCTGTTTGGATCTGAGTTTAGATGCAAAGGACAGTAGGAATTAACTTGTTTCTTCACATTGGATAGCATGAGTCTAAGTCTTTTAAAGGTGGACTAACGGGACTTTGGCAATGGCTCAGTTGGTAAAGAGCTTGCCATATAAGCCTGAGGACCTGAGTTTGGTCCACAGCACCCTCATAAAAGCTGGCACAGTGACATGTGCTTACAATCTCAGAACTATGGATGGAGGTGAAGGCAGGAGGGCCCTGGGGCTTTCTGGTCAGCCAGTCCATCTGCGACAGTGAGTTCCAGGTTCAGTGAGACACCTGTCTCAAGAAGGCGGAGGGCAACTGGAAGACACCTATGTTGACGTTTGCCTGAAAGACACACACATGAACACACACACACACACACACACACACACACACACACACACACACACACAAGCAGTGCTTCAGTACCAGTTGGGAAGTATCTGCAGCCAGGTGGAGAAGATTCAGTCCCATCTAATAATCTTGTTTCCTTTTCACAAATCTTGGCGTCCTGAATTTCCCCCAGCCCAGGTCTTCTGTATTCATTAGAAACAAACACATAAACAAAACAAGAGCCGCTTCACAGTCACTACAGCCACCACAGCAAAGGCCTAGGGAAGCTTTGTGCTCTCATCAGGGGCGTTGTCTCAGGGTCGTAATTCAGGGTAGTTTCCAGCTTTTCTCCCCTCTCACAGAGCCAGATAAAAACAACGATTAAACAACAGCAAGGACTAGATAGTTCAGCTCAGCTTGCTGAAATGGAAGGGAGTAAACTTGCATCCCAGCGAATGCAGAATCTTTTAAAAATTAATCTCCCCTTCCCTCGTGCCTCATGGATGGGGCAGAGTGTCCTAATTGGTAGAACAAGTGCATTTTCCTTGATTCAGACCTATAAGCCACTGCCTTTGCCACAGAGCTGTGCTCTGCTGACATTTAAGGCAGGAATTCCCTGGGAAAATAGTCAAGAGATTCTTTTGGTGTGACTGGCGGACCTCCAAAGGGTCTAGGGTTCCCCTGTCCAGGCAAGTGGGGAGAAAGAAAGGGAGGGAGGGAGAGAGGGAAAGAGAAACAGAAGGACTTTATTGAGTGACTGTGTTTCATCTGCAGCTTGTACAAAGAAGCAGAAATGTGGTTGGATGACTGGATGCTTTTCTTGCTCCTTATCTCCTACCCAGCTAATATGACAGTCCAGAGCGTGGCTAGTGCTTTAGAGGCAGTGTAGACACTGCAGGGGAAAATCAGCTTTTTGGGAAGCCAATAACGTTGGGATCCACTGAGCTGGACCAGCTTAAAAAACTAGCTAATCATCTGAATGCAGCTTGGAGTAGAGATTGCTCCAAGTTTCAATTCATTAGACTGTATTTGAGCTAAAGTAGCACTTTGGTGCGCACTATCACCCATAATGGTCACTAAGGGCCGCTCAGATATCGTACTGACTAACAAAGATACTCTCAGTTTCCTGAGTAGATCATGGGCTCAGAGGGCTCAGCAGAGCGGTGATATGCTAGCTAAAGGCGGTGAACCCATAATCCTGGTGCTGGTTAGGAGGGGACAGGAGGAGCCCAGGGATTTGCTCATAGCCAGTCTAGTCAATTAATGAACTGCAGGTTCAATGAGACACCCTATCTCAAAAGAAAACAAGGTAGAGACTATTGCGGAAGCCCCTGAATGTTGGTCTCTGGCCTCTAAGTGCACACACACACACACACACACACACACACACACACACACACCCCAGTACACAAGAGCAGAGACGTTTTCAATTGTTCAATTGTGTGCTCACCATGATATAACAGGCTGAGCAGGAAAAAGTATAATTTTAGGTATTTTAAAAATGCTTTTACAATAATGCTAGAGTGCTTTCCAATGCAGAAGTAGCTAATGGCGACTACAATCTATGACTCCATCAAAGAAACTGATTCGGAGCAGTCAAGCAACGAGGAATGTGCCGGGTCGGATGAGCTTTGATGAACTTGGGACAGTGCTTCCTCCCTTTCTGCACCTCTGCACGTCCTTTTCCAACATTGCTGCTGTTGGGAAGGTGTATTTGAAGACATGCACCAGGTCTCAGAAGTGTCAAGTCTACTTTCCAGTGGTTTCGACTTCCCATGCTTGTGTATTTTGTTGCACACTGGCCTGTGTTCCTGTAGTAGAGACCCCATGCTGTCACACCTGGATAGCCTCTACCTTGGTGGTCTTAAAGGTGACCCTTTCCCCAGTCTCTGTCACACGATTCCCTGATTTGTCTTTAAATACATCTGGGCAGTCACCTCTTCCTTGGAGCATTCCCATCTGGGGAGGTTTGAAGTGTTGACAGGGTCCCCAGTTGGCGGTGCTGTTTGGGGAGCTTAGGAGGCAAGGCCTTGCTGCATCACGGATGTCACTAGAGGAGGACTTTGAGGCCTTGTCCCCCACTTCCGTTTCATGCTGTCATTTATGCTAATAGTTGGGATGTGAGCTCTTAGTTTCCTGCTCTAGATGCCATGCTGTGGCTTGCTGCCATGCTTCCCTGCCACAATGGACTCTTGCGCCTCTGGAACCATAAGCTCAGACAAACTCTTTCTTCTACAAGTTGCCTTGATCACTGGGCCAGAAAAGTAACTGATACAACAGCAAAACCCTTAAAAAATTGCCACACAAAGCTGGGGAGATGGTTCAATGGGTAGTGTGCATGCCATCCCCGTGGACTGGAGTTCTATTCCCAGCATGCAAAAAGGTCAGGCATGAGATGTGCACTTGTTGAAATAGTTTTAATAATCTGCCAAGGGACACGTAATAGTTTCATAAATTATGAGAGCATGGAGCTGCTATTGATCACATTATATTTTTAAGTTTTGTTATTTACATTGTACTGGGGATTGAACACAGTGCCTTGTATTAGCCATTGAGCTATGCTCCCAGCCCTTAATGGTATCTTTGTGTGTGTTTATTGATTTATATAA